TTTTTTTTTTGGGGGGGGGTGTCCCTGGGCTAGGGCCTGAGGCAGGAGATAGTTGGACCTTACAGGATGAGGGTACCCCATCCACCAATGTATTTCACTGTAAGAAAACAGGAAGGGGAGGCCAAGATGGTGAGTAGATTTACTGAGGGGCACTGGGAGAAACTGGAAATGGTCAGCCATTGACCAAGAGGAAGGAAGGGAGGGGAGAGATAGAGGTCTTGAGATCAGCTGACCAGGGTGTGACTGGCTCTTGGGAGGTGGTGTGTGGAGGATCAAGACCTGCAGTCTCCAAACATATGGCCCCCCTCTCCCAGAGCGATGCGTAGTGCTGGTCTAATACCACCTGAAAGGTCTTCCCACTCTGTTCTCCCCCATTCCTCGTGCAGGGAGCCTGTGTCCTCTCTTGATCCCCAGGTTTGCGTGTGTTGGGAGGTCCCAACACCCCTCCCGCTCTGCGGGGGAACCTGCGGATGGGCCATGGCTCAGGGTCAAGTTTCAAGTCCACTCTCAACGCTGCCCGCGAGCTGCGCCGTCTGTTAGGGTGACTCCATACTCCGCGCCCCTGAAAAGGGAGGACATACATACATCTCACTCAGAAATGAAACATACTGACTTGGCCTCTGCCTGTCCCATCCTAATCCCGGGGCAGACGACAGAGAGTTGCCTGAACAATCCACACATTCTCCAGCCAGGATGGAAGAACCGGTGTGGGGCTTGCGCAAAGGTCCTGGTAAGGTCTGGTCCCCTGAGGTCCCCAAACTGCCAAGGGCTCACTTCTCTTTTCCCTCTTGCTCTGACCGGTGTCTCTCAGGAGCCACGAACACACTGGACCATGAATCGCCGCTCAGCCAGGCTCGTTCCAGATCCCAGGTCAGGTAGGCGCCGGGAATCGGGGCTGAGGGCTGCGCAGCGTAAACTTGGAGTACGGGGGGCTGGGCTGGGCACCCCGCAGTGGCGGGCTGGGTCCGCCGAGAGCGTGGGAGCCGGGCAGAGCCTGGATCGATCGATGCGCTCGGTTCGCAGCGCTGTCAAGGAAGCGAGTACGGGATGAGCGGGAGCCCGGCGGCCAGCTCCGACTGGGAGGGACCCGCTGGAGGCGAGCCCCTATTGGCAGGCCGTCTGCGGGAGGTGGGCCCTGATTGGCCCGGCCTCCGTGGAGGCGGTGGGCGGCGGGGTTAAGCGCGTCGCCGCGCCCCGGCCTAGGCGCGAGCCCGGAGCCCTGGATCCGCACCAGGGAGCTGGACCCTCCGTGCCACGCTATGGGTCCCCGCCTCTGCCCCCAGCGTGCAGCCCTGCTCCCGGGTGGCCTCCTGTTCCTCCTGCTGCTCGCAGACCCGGCGCTTCCGACTGGACGTCCCCCTCCTGTGGTCCTGGGTGAGGCGCGCGTCCATTCGCGGGTCTGTTGTTGGCTCGTGCGTCAGGCGGGGCAGGTTGCGGGGGTGAGGGGGCTGCCTGCCCGGTTTGCGTCGGCTCTAAGCTCGAGGTAGGGGAGCGTATGGGCTGTCTTGTCACTGGGGTCGGTTCGTCCACCTCCGGACATACTGGTCGCGGGTGTGGTCAACCTCTCTGTCACCTTCCCCTGTAGAATATGGGGGTAAGTAGGAGGGTTACCATGCGGTTGTCCGTCGGTCTGCCTGTCCATGGCAGTCCCAAACCTTGCCTCGCCTTATCCCCATTTTTTAGCTGGGAAGACTGAGGTCCTTTGGTCCCACTCCTGAGGGCAGTTTTGGAGGTAAGGTGGCCTTAGCGCTGGCCCCCAGGGGCCTTAGCGTTGACTTGGGCTTGGCTAGTGGGCTGTCTCCCTGGACCCTTTCAGCCCCACACGTTTGGAAGGGCATTCATTACTGAAAGGAAGCTCGTTGGGGAAAGGATTGCTGTCTGACCCTGCCACCAGGGCACCCCCAAACTTATCAGATGTATAGCATTGGGTCTGAGGGAGGAGCGCCTAGGGAATGTGAGGATGGCTAAAGGCAGAGGTAAGGGGTGGGACAGTGGCGATGAACAGATGTCAGAGAGCAGCCTGTACTCATCCTTCTGGACCTACTTGAACTGAGCTATGTTGGGGCTAGGTGATCTCTCCTGCTTACTTGGTCTTTCTTGGCCCTGACCCCTGGCAACTGTAGTCACAGTGTTTCCTTGTGGTGGTGGGCAGGAATGAAACTTCTTTTTTTTTTTTTTTAAATATATCTTTATTGATTTCAGAGAGAGGAGGAAAGGACAGAGAAAGATAGAAACATCAATGATGAGAGAGTCACTGATCGGCTGTCTAGCCCGCAACCCAGGCATGTGCCCTGACCTGGAATCGAACCCTGATCACCTGGATCCTAGGTCGATTCTCAGCTGCTGAGCCACCCCCGGCCGGGCAGGAATGAAACTTCTGCCTTGGGGGCTTTGGATACCTCATGCAGGCTGTCACTCCCACCCAGAGCTAGTGTGTAGGTGACTTGCCAGGACTCCTGAAGGCAGAGGTGTGCTGAGGTATATGTTACATACTGACTGTGCATGGCCCCCATACTCTTTTTGCTGGGTGTATTTTAATGGGGGGTGATACAGATCACAGAGGGGTAAGGTTGGCAGGTAGTTTGGTCCCAAGGGGTCCCCCACCAGGAGCTCTGGGCTGGGAAATGCTTCAGGGGTATGGTTGGCCCAGGTTAACCATGGGAATTGGGCAGACTTGGCTCTGCCTTCCCTAAGCTTGCAGGTTGATTCCCAGAGATGAGGTCTGTGCTGGCCAAGCACAGAGAATCCACTGACCCAGTCAGGGAAGGCTTCCTGGAGTATGCAGCTGGAGCTATGGCCAGGAGAGTTCCAGGCAAAGGGAAATACATATCAGAGGGAAGGAGGTAGGTAGTCCAGGCTGTCTGGAATGGAGTGGTTGCTGGGGGACT